TAAAACCCCCCCCCCCCCCCACACACACACACTTATTTTCAGGTGGATAGATTTCGTGTCTGAGCATTCTCACATGACGGTGGGTCTTTCCCCCCCTCTAAAAACAGTTAAAAAAAGAAAAAACAATATATCCTCATGCAAGAACTTTTCTGCTTCCGATTACCCCCATGCTTACAAGTTGCAAAGGAAACACGGAAGCAGGGAAGCGGCTGCCCAGCTCCAGAGCTCCACACCATTATTTTTTTCAGAGGGAATCTCACTCGAGTATAAGCCGAGGGGTTTTTTTTTCAGCACAAAAAATGTGCTGAAAAACTCGGCTTATACTCAAGTATATAGGGTAAATGTATTTTTGAAATGAAATTAATATTCTTTTTTATAGATATAGATACTTCTAATAGTTACATAGATATATATTTGTTGACTCTCCTTGAATTCATTCTATCACTTACTTTGAGGGCACAAAATATACAGGAATCTCCCATGCATTTGTGTGTTGTAAGTTGTCGAAAACTGCGTCGAAAAATATCAAGATGCCAGAGCACCTAGAAAGCAAAGTATTATTAATCAATTTTCTTCAGAATGTTTTAGGCAAGAAAACGATCATTTCTGAAGCATGCTAACTTGGTCAAAGCAGTGGTTGTCACCTTTCATTTAGATTAACACACAGCAAGGATGGTTATTTCAGAAGATCCCCCCAAAATTAGAGATTATGTAAAATACAGCAGCCAGAATTTTGAGTAGTTGTTAGGAAAACAGAGTATATAATAGCTTTCCCATTTCAAATGTATTGGTCAGCAGTGTAACCTTAGGAAGAATTCAAAATACCCATGTTTCCTGAAAAATAAGACCCAGTCTTATTTTCTTTTGGGCTCTGAAATAAACAGTAGAGCTTATTTTGGGGGAATGTCTTATTTTTTTCCATGTAGATAGGCCTTCTTGCTCATGGGGCAGGAGGCCATGTGGTGTGCCAGTGCCACTGCTCCGAGGCAGGATGGTGGAGCTGCCCCATGCACCCCACACCAGCTTACCTCAGGCCACCCACAACCCAATACTTGCCTCGCCTTGTGGCGGCTCCAGCAGCTCCATCCAACAGGATACCGCATGGCCTTCTTCTGCTTGCTTATGGCCGCAATGGAGCAGGCCAAGTAACAAGCCAGTGCTGTGGCTACGAGGCAACAGTTGGGGCGTGGATGGACTTGCTGCGGGAGCCCTGAAGTAAGCTGGTGCAGTGTGCATGGGGCAGTTCTAATTCCCTGCCTCATGGCGGTGGCACTGGTACACCATGCAGCCTCCTACCCCACCATTCCACACACACTCCTTGCCTCACGTCGTGTCAGTGGCACTGCGAGCAATCAGACGGAATGGGCGGGCAACCAGCTGTGCAATCACTTAAGTGGGGCTTACTTTAGGAGTAGGGCTTATATTAGGTGCAGGTGTGAAAAGCAGGCTAGGGCTTATTTTTTGGATAGGTCCTATTTTTGGGGAAATGGGGTACTTATTGTGATTTTAAACCCCTAAGCAGGTTGGGACCAAAATAATGAAATACCAGTAATTTTTCATGACTAGGTCTGTGCTACATAATAATTAAAAAGTTCTAAATATATCTCCTCTCTTCAAGCAGGGTAGTATCCATATAGCAGCATCCGATTAGTATCTACATTATCTACTTATTTAAAAAGGCAAACCACAAATGGATATATTTCATAAGTCATAATTATAAATGTATGAATATGAAGTAAAGATTATTTATTAAAGGAAAACAAAGTAAGTTCTGGAAAAGAAAAATGCTTCACAAATAATGTGGATAATTTGATATGTGATTTTTAATTAATGTAATTTTTTTTAAAAGTCACAAGTTTGACTGAACTTTGCTCAACCTATTCAAGATCAACTGTACACTTAAAATCTCTAAGTTTAATGTTGAATAAAAAGTGAAGCGGTCAATTAACTTTGTTCTAAGTGATATGTGAATTGTACAAATTTTTGTACATAAATTGTACATAAACGTTATGACAATAAAAGTTATATTGATCTACCAAGTCTTATATCTAATTTGCGGGTAATTACAGGAAAATGTTATTACTGCAAGATACTAATTTGAAGAGCAAAAAGGATTTAAATGAGATATTCTTTACAGTATATTACAGACATATATTCTGGAGCACCTTGCTTAATTACCAAATGAGTTTATATAGAGCTTTAGGACTTAGGGCTTAGATAAAAACTCTGTTAACTGCACTATTAATTCTTATTATTAGCTGTTTATATTTTATTGAAAGTTATACTTTTATATTAAAAGTAGAGGGAAGGGGGTTTAAATATCTTTATTCATTGCCGTTCACTAAATTATCAATTTTTGGTGTATATTTTACTGAAAACACTTATCAGCTGTAATGCTTAACATTCTAGCTATAATATTTATCGCTAAAGCTTCCAAATGCTAGAATTATACAAATAAAGATACTAATATGTGTAACACTGAGACACTCTGCCTATAAAATATAAGCATTCCATCTAATCAGAACTTCTCTTGCACTGGAAATAATCCTGGCATTAACGGTAGTTTCGGGATGGAAAAAGAAAAAAAGAAAAAAAATTCCTGATGCAACAATTAGGGGCCTATTCTGTGTTGCTTGTCAAGTTCTATGAATTCTCACATTTTACATTTGTCTTTTGCCAAGTGGATGCATATTTCCCCCTTCTTCCTTATGGACTCTCATCCTGTTTCTCAACTTTATTCCCTATGCTATGATTCCCAAGAAGCCGATTATAACATATCAGCCAGACTATCTTACTTTATGGTGTTACATTATGAGGATATACATATCCTCTTAAAGCCAAACAAGCTACAGAGGTTGTTAAAACTCTTCAGAACATTTCTTGCCCCCCTGTACTGCTGAATAAAACATTTTACAATGAATGAAAATATTCTTACTAAATAGAATATTTTTTAAGGTAGGCATCTCTTTTATCCACCTGTCAGCCTTATTCACAAAATTTTACATCAAAACTTCATGTCTCTTATTTACTTTCACGTGAAAAGAAATTAAGGGGACTCCAATAACCCATCAAAAATTCATTCAAATGAAACATTCATGGTTGTATTTGTGCTTACTATACTATTGTGGCAATAGCAAGAAAGCAGGAAAGCAATTTTGTTGTCTGATACATTCTGAAAAATAGTCATGGGAAAGATATAATATCAACCTTGTTATTTTAAAAATGAAAGCAAAATACTAGCACAAGGACTCAAATCCAAGATACTGAATATCTTATATCTATACTGAATACATGTATGTTATATATTATGCCAGAGAATCTGAAAACTAGATTAAGAGAAGATAAGTTTAAATTCAGTCCAACAAAATTGGACTCCATAGCACTGAATTATATATGCTTTTAAAACAGTATAGTATAGGAAACGTTAGAAACCTATATAAAAGATAGGCACATTATTATTTCAGTTTTCTTACCTGTAGTGCACTATTCAGGAAGCAGCTGTTTTGTCCTGGCTCATTGCTGAGGCCTTTACTTGGTGCTATAGATGTTGTATTTCGTGGAGTAAACATGCCTTGCACACCACCCTGTCCCACAGAAAAATAATTTCTCTTCCAAGACATCTTTCACATTTGGATTTGCAGTATAAAGCTGGTTCTATAGGTGTGTCTGTGGTTTAAAGATTCAAAATCAAAACTAAGTTACACAATGCTAAAAAATAAAACTTCCTCTACATTCCTCAATGGTATCTCATGAAGTGACATGAACACTGTATTTCTTTTAAAGCCAGAAATAATACTGCAATATTGTTACAGTAATAAGCTCTGACTGGAAAACATCTCTTTGTACCTGAAAAAAAAATTGGAGGCAAACTAAAAAAAAAAATAGCTTTTCCAAGAATGATCATAATGAAGTCCTATATCTCGTCTAAAAAGTTTATTCAGAGTGTAAAACATATTCAAAAATACTAAAAACCAGAAAAATAACTTTCTGTTCTTTTGTAGTCTCTGAAGGCTAATAAGCAGGCAAAATGAAATCAGGAAAAAAAAAACAAGCAACCAAAATCCTTGTTATTCCTCTGTCGTTTTCTTCCTGGAATATTGGTACAGGCAACTTCACTTTTTATAAGCAAAACAAGCAGAGATTCAATACTGTCTTTTAATCCAGGCAGAAACCATCTTCTAAAATTCCTGTAATTTCCTCAGCAAGACTTGAGTGGTTTCTTCTGTTCTTACTTCTCTTGTGAGCATAATGTCTAGCTGTGGAGAGGGAGAGAGGGAGAGAGAGGGAGAGAGAGAATAATCAAAGGCTTGCGTCATTTAATTAACATCTTAGTTTTCTTCTGCCAAGATCAGCGTTCACTCACCTCGCATCTCACCACAAACTGAGGAACAGAAAACAAAATCCCACCAAATTAAATACAATAAAGAAAAAAAAGAAATACAACAACTACACTTTTCCATAAATATAACTAGAACAGGTTAAATGGGATGAATTTGGATAATAGGAAATAATAAGTAAAAAGTGTATCTTTCTAATTTGGTTACATTTGTTGCTATGATAACAAAAATATATTTTTAAAATCAATGTTGATTGATTCAAATGGATTATATTACATCACTGTCAATTAGTAGCAATGATTGTTGATTGAGATTCTTTATTTGGTCCTGAAGTATAGTAAGAAGTACAACAGCAGAATTCGTTTGGAGGTCTATAACTTATTCTCTAAATTACAGGTAGTTTGCAAAATAAATTTGGAAACCAAACAAAACAAGAAACATCCTTCTTAAATATTTCTTGTATAAGGAAATTTTAAGATACTTTTACTTGTAGAAAAATGGGGAAAATTTGTAAATAAATAAATGTTAAGTATGTTGACTTGTTTGGTTAACCCAACAGAGGGTTTATATTATATATTTATTTTGTGAATATTCTTATATTATATATTTATTTTGTGAATATTCTTATTTTTAGATTACAGTTATTTTACATACAGAGAATTGATACTCATTTAGGGGTAGGATTCAAATTTCTTAACAACCAGTTCTGTGGATGTGGCCTAATTTGTGGGTGTGGCTTGATGGTCATGTGACTGGGTGAGCATGGTTTGTGTGTAAATATTATAAATATTTATGTAAATATTGATTTTTTTTATAAAAAAGGAGCAACTTTTATCCAAAGCAGGCAAAGCAGGCAGGCAGATTGAGTTGCTCACAGAATCACAGATTCACTTAAAGATCTATCTATCTGCAATCGGCTATCTGCGTCTGCACTGAAAAGCTTCAGTCCTAAGGAAGGTTCAGCTCGGCTTTTAGATTAGCTAGAAAGCAATTTCTAGCTAATCTAAATCTCCTGACAGAACAGAACAGCTAATGGTCGGGGGTAGGGGAAGGAAAAATAGCAACTTGCCAAACCAGGCAAGTTGGATGGCTGGCATGCCAGGTAAGGAGTGAGTGGGCGGGAAGGGGAGGGGCCAGCCAGTGGAACAATTTGCCCGTTCTCCAAACTGGGGACAATCGTGTGTGCAGTGTTTGCAAGAAATCATCAGCTGTGCCACCTGGCACAGCTGACAAGTGCAGCGCGTGGGTGTGTAGTGTTTGAAAATCCTCTTGTTTCCTGCTTTTTCAACCTCAGCTGTGCCGCGCAAAGCAGCTGAGGAGGGAAAAGCAGAGAATAAAGGACAGCCTAGAGACTGGGCGGGCAGCTGAGCCAAACACCGAACCGGTTTGGTGTCAGCTGCTCTTTGCAGCTACAGGTTCTATAGAACCGGGCTGAACCTGTAGCATCCCACCCCTGTATTCATTCCATCAATTAACAGAATGCATGTAATTAAACCAGATAATCTATACATCATGCAAAGTCAATTTGCTTAGCTATGGTTTGCTGAATGTCATTTGCTTCACACATCATGCATGCTGGGTTTATGCATCAAACAAAATAAAAAATGGTTTGGTTTTGACTTACTATATAAGTATAATTTGTAAGTTATATTTATATAAATTATGACATGGATTAACATGTACAAATTCAGCCAAATGTACTTTATTAAAAAATTTCAACTAAGCCAGGTCTTAGTAAACATCAGGCCTAAAATTAAATTTATGGTTTGCAAACCAGAATTGCTTGATCTTAATAATTTTAACAAAACAAAACATATTATGGATTAACATAATAATTTTCACTGTGGTTTCATACATACTTTTGACTAGATTGATTGCGGATACAATCCAAAATATTTGTTATTAAATCCCTTTATACTTTACATAACTGACCTTTGTGATCATATTAAAAGCAATTGCGTTCTTTTAGCTGATGATGTAAAACTATTCAACACCATCGACAACACTGCTACCCTTCAAAAAGATCTTGATTATGTGTTAAAAAGGTCAAACAAGTGGCAACTTCAAATCAACAAATGCTCTTACATATTGGCACAAAAAAATCAGAAAATAAAATACAAGCTGAATGGTCACAACCTTGTAGATGAACCCCACTATGTCAAGGACCTTGGAGTACTCATCTCTAATTATCCAAGTGCTAGAGCCTACTGCAACTACATAGCCAAAAAGGCATTAAGAATTGTTAACCTAATCCTGGGTAGCTTTTTCTCCGGTAATAATGTACTATTAACTAGAGCTTACAAAACGTTTGCTAGACCAATTCTAGAATACAGCTCATGTTTGCAATGTCCTACCTGTCAAATGACTACTTCAGCTTCAACCAGAACAATACAAGAGCACACAATAGATACAAACTCAAGGTAAACCGCACCAAACTTGATTGCAGGAAATATGACTTCAGCAACAGAGTGCTCAATGTCTGGAATACTCTACCTGACTCTGGTTTCTTCCCCAAACCCCAAAAACTTTAACCTTAGACTGTCTACTATTGACCTCACCCCTTTCCTTGGATGTCTGTAGGGGGCGTGCATAAGCGCACCAACATGCCTACCGTTCCTGTCCTAATGTTCCTTTTTATTCGTATCCATTTCATGTATTCATAATCATGTTTATACTTATACATGTTATCTAATGCATGCTTGACAAATAAATAAATAAATACATTATATTTAAGCATCAGTCTTCCAATCAGCTTCCACTCTAGCAGTTCTAAACCCTGCCCTATGTCCCAACCATATATGGGAGACAACTAATGGGGACAAGAGAAATGCCTTCTTAGTGGCTGTACCAATTTCCCTGCTGGAATCCACTTTGGCCAACTGGCTGTGGGCTCCCTATTTACGAAGGTATTCTTCCTACAGAATATACTTTATTAACCTGCTTATTGGCCCATTCTTATTGGCTAATCTTTTATAACTGATTTCGGGAAGAAAGGTATTACCTTTGCTTTCTTTTATTCTTATACTGGGTTTAATTGTTACCTAGGCTAGAGTGTATATGCACCAGAAGGACAGGATGTATCATTTTTTTAAAAAATGAAATTGATCACTTAATTACAATGACATATTTTAGTATTAGATATCATTAACATTAACAATGACTAAAGGACCACAATTTGTATTTTTTAAAAATGCAACCAGATTAAAATATGTGCAGAGAATAAATCCATTTTATCAACCTCAGAAGGATGGAAGGCTGAGCTGGTCAGGATTGAATTCCTGGCTATGAGCAGAGTTAGCTTGCAATACTGCATTCAAACCACTATGCCACCATGGTTCATGATGTTTTCACCTGATGGGCGATTGTCCTAGAAAGCAAATAGTGAGTGAGTTTTGAATTCTTCATAGAAGGCTAATGAAATTGCTGTGTCAATGCTGAGCCATTAATTAGCTGAGGATTTCGATGGAAAACAAAATAAAAGGAAACAGTAAGTGAGGAGAAAGTACAAATCACCAGACACTTCAAACTAAATAGACAGACAGACAGACAGATAGATAGATATACACACATACAGAAATCGTATCATAAGAGTAACACCACCACCCCCATTACTCATTTTCAGATCGCAGGAACCACTGGGAAGCAGAATACCTTTAAATAGAACCACCACCACCCTATTATACAGGTTGGCTCCTAGACAGCAATGAAAAACCTCCATGAAGAAGCTGTGAAAATGGAAAAACAGCACTTTCACTCTTACACTATGATCCTGTTCAACTAGATTCATAAAACACGCTGTCAGATCCCTAAAAGTGATACTGCCATTCAGTTGGGAGAAAGTGGGGAGGGGTCCTTGAATTTGATTCATTACTATTGCCTGTTGCAACTGCTATTTTATAACTTGTATCCTGGTGCTGGAGCACCCTGAGATTTTCTCACCTCTTAGAGAATGGGGTAGGCTGGAGGGCCATGTGGATTGTTTCATTTTTAAAGATGGCCATGGGAATGCCGGCTCATCTATTTCTCAGAGTGGCCAGTATAATAACCTGTGGAATGCTGTATCTGCATCTGGCTAAAGGGAGGGGTCTCTACTGCTTTAATTCTACTTGTGTGGCCTAAAGGTATTCAGACATAGCTTTGAATATATTGCTCTCATTTCTGCTTAATAAAAGATTCCTTTCAAAATACTTTTGTTTCAAGAGTCTTCACTTTCTTAAGTTAGGAGCAGAGGCAATCCTTAAAAAAAGCAATATCTGAAAAAGGTCAACCTAGAGAAGCAATTTTCACTCTACCAAGGGGACTCGGCAAACCATGTCTGAGCAAAGCAGTGTGTAGGGAGAAGCCGAATGCGGGGGGAGACATCAACCACTACCCCGCTGGGTAGTGTACCCCATGGAGGATCCCAAAAAGCCCCGCTGGTTGATTGGCATGGGGATGGGAGAACCAGAGTCGTCACCCTCACCCATGGTAACCAAAAGCCGGGATGGAAATTGGAGCTAGAAGCCCCTCTCTGACCAGGAGGAACTAATTGAACCACCGCTGAGGAAGGATCATCTGGAGACATATAACTGAGTTGGGGATGGAAACTTTGGAAAATCTCAACATCTGAGGGGAGCCAAAACAGCAGCAAATGTTGTGGTTAGCCGGCAGCAGGTGCAGACGGCTGAGGAGAGCGAGGACTCAGATGAGGGCCAGGACCATTAGGGAGTGGACTGCTGCCTTCAGAGAATGTGGGGGCTGGCAGCAGCGATGAGAAGGTTCCCAAGGAGCCTGTGTCAAGTGCGTGTGTGTGCAGGGCTGTTCGTAGGAAAGAGCAGCTGCAGCAGCACAGGCGACTCGGGAGTAAGGCTGCAAGGTAATGGCCCCTCCTTCAAGAAGATAAAATCCAGCTGTGAATCAGACATTCTTTGTAGGAAGCA